TTAACTGAATTGGAAAACTTGCTTTTGGAATTGTTGTCTATTGACTTGCTTCGCACTATTACAATCATAGGTTTCCAGGATTTCTATAAATAAAACACGAAGATTTCCTACTCGTTGTCTCTGCCTTATTGAAAGTGAGACGAAGAAGAACAAAATTAAACGAAACGAAAAGCAGAAATAGGAATCATTGTACTGGTGACGATATCGATCCCGCGGGAATACTCGCAAACGCGAGGGCAAGTAAACACAGAGCTTTTGGCAGGAATATCCGGGACATTACCTTTAGACAATAACAGCGCAGTCCTGAAAATGGCCGATCAGCGAAGGAAACTATCATGGTGAAAACGAGGACAAATTCGCCTATTATCCGCACTTTGCGGTCTGGAAATGGGAGAGGGAAAAACATAGGAAATATAGAAGAGAAGGTCAGTTCTGACGGCGTTATTATCGCTTTTGTTGGTCAAAAAGATATGTAGACCGCGATTAGTTTGCAGTCAGGTGCGTTGCACACTCACAGACCCTGACACCAGGAAACTATTCAGTTGACCTTGACTCTTATCTTCAAAAGGTTCCATCTAGCGATGAAAGTGGACTGGATTCAACACCTTTTCCATCTAAGAGACGTCGTTTACGAAGCAGAGGGGCCTATAATGATACTCACGAGTATCCCAAACTACCGGCCTGCACCGTTCCTTTGACGCGTTCGACTCGTCGAAATGAAAGGTAAGCCCAAATGTGTTAAACTTCTGTCTGTATTGGAATCTTTCACCAGTACTTCAAGTAACTAAGCTCCAGGGAGGTTGATGGCAATGCTATCTTTATGAAAGCGGAAATTTTCAATGATGTTATCTTTCCATTTAGCCTCTTAAATGGACCTACTGTTCATGTGGAAACCAGGAATTCGCAATCGCGTAAGCGAGGTAGGCATGTGAGAGATTTTTATATTTTAAGTTTCCGGTTCTCAAGTTGCCTTTCTGTATTCAAAAACGTTTTATTTGATTTGAGGCAATTCAGTTTCAATCTTTTGCACCACAGGAAAGAGAGGAAGGCCTACGAAATCTATGCCACAGAATGACAGGAAGAAAACCAAAGGAACTATCGTGTATAAGACACGGCGAAGCGATCGTAAACGGCGAAAGGTGTACGAGACCTTGAATGTTAGTATGCTAACAGATCACCGTTACTTGACTGAATTTGGGAATTCGAAATCCCCCAAGAAAGAAATTGAAAGGAGCAGATTCCTGCACGACGAAGATAGCGAATCTCAAACCGAGGGCGACGAGGTAAAATATTAATATTGCTTTGTTTTGTTTGAAATTGGCGCCATTTCCACCGCTTGGCGCCAATCACAGATATCTCTACTTTTCACTTTCTGGGTAGTCTCCTGCCAATATTTGCTACGAAAGGACCTTTTTCTTCGCTAAAATTACTATAACCTAGTCACATCCTTTTTGCAGAGGGCAAAATTCTTCAAATTATTTACTAGTTACAATTGTTGGGTAAAGAGCTGGGGAGAACTCTGTTTACCCACAATTCCAATCTTTATCTTCTCTCAGCAGGTTTAGTGAAATAGGTTGTCAGAAAATGTAGCATACCCTATTGCAGGTCTCTATGTGCTCAAATTCTGTGTAAAAATATTTACCTCTCAGTTCAATGCTTTGTCAAATAAAAGAAAGTGTAAGAAATCAGTACAATTTTGCTGATTTTTTGCTTGGTGTTTTTTCTTGTTAATTAAATTTTTTGAATTTTCAAACCTTTCCTTTGGAGGACGTTTAATAGGGATGTATGAAAAGATTGTTTTGAAGTTCATGAGACAGATTGCTTTGATTTTTGTTATTGCAATTGTTTTTGCAGTAATAAAAGTATTTTTGTGTATGATCCTGTTAGTGACAAAGTAGGAATTTGATTATAAAACTGAGAGAGAGCTGTTTTTTCACTTCATTACCACTATATTGGTGTCTGTGTAAAGAAAACCAGGATGGCTTTTCCATACAAAGCTTTGTGAATGTAGATGAAACATGTCTCTGAATGAATTATGCATTTTAAAAAAATGCTAAGATTTAAAACTTGGCAGACCTCTTTATGTCAGACTTCCATCTTACACCAGATTCTTCATATCACTGATTTAATTGTTTTAAGAGCGTGCCTCTTAATGTGAAGCCGTAAGATCATTCATGGGCAAGCCAAAATGTTCAATGGATCATGATTGTATTTTCACTTTATCAAACATACTATCTATTTTTTTAGTATAGTTTAGTGTCTTAATTTGAGTATGGTTTTGTACTCTTTCTTCAATCTAGGATGTTGTTGGAACACCCAGCATGTATGACCTTATAAAGAGAAAACATGATCAGACTCCAACACCAGAAAAAAGATCAAGTAGAAATAGAAGACATGGCGATCAGCAAGAGGAAAGTGACAATGATGAAGATGAAGAAGATGATGATGACGACGAAGATGAGGATGATGATGGTGATGGAGAAGATGAGGAAGGGGAGGAGGAGAAGGGTATTAAAGGTTATGAACTGAGAAAGAGACGAATGATTCCAAACCGATACATTGCACCTCCTTTGAAGTCCAAGGAAAGAGGTAATTGTCTTTTCTTGTAACAATGTGTGTGGATGATGCTGTATTGTGGTCATCTGACAAAAAGTTACATGTATACTGTATGTTGTTCTGCAGTTAGTATTGGATGAAGTCGACCATGGTGTTCAATGACACCTATATGTCATCTAACAAAACTTCACCCTGATGTTTTGTTATATACAAGCCTTTGCTTTGTAATTGTTGATTGAATGTGTTATTGGACATCTTTACATATCTACAAAGTACTCAGTCTTTTAACTGCTTCTGTTTTCAGGCAAGCGAAGATTTCATATGAATGTAGAGCCAAGAAAGAGAGGTAAAAAACCATCACAGTATGCATCTCCAGTCAGAAGAGTCCGCAGACCCAAAAGAAAAGCTCATCATGTGAGCTCCTCTACTTCATCTTCTGGTAAGTTGGATCTCCTAACTCTTCTGTCTCTAGATAAGTGACTCAGTCCTCTTTTGGCATAAGGGATATATTTTTTGACTTTTAAAGTGGTTATATCTGTAACTATAACTTCTAACAGACTGAATTGAAGCTAACTCCAAAAAGTAACTCATCCCTTCCTATCTAGGTGCTTTCTGAAATTTATTTGTTTCCTAAGAAATGTGATCTGCAAACCAGTTGAGTTCTTGTACCTTGCTTTGATACATACTTTTTATTTACAGTTTTGATTACTTTTGATTTTCTGTATATTAGATATATTTTAGCCTGGGAGAAGACTTGAGAACTTTCAAGTGATTAGTTGAAGGGGCATGATTCTCTATTCCTGTCTCATTCCATGAATGTATATCCCAAAGCATTTTCTGTGTTTTTCTAGATGACTCAGACAATGAAAAAGATGAGAGAAAGTTTGAACGCAGGAAAGCTAAGAGCATGGCGAAAGCCAGGGGTCGCTGTCTTCCAATGAACTTTACCATGGAAGATACAGCTTCTGGAATTTTCAAAGAAAGAGCAAGAATTGGATCTAGTTTAGCAGATGTGGATCCTATGAACATTGACCAAAAGGTTTGTATTTAAATGAGTATTTGGAGATTTTGGGGTTCCTTATTGATGAGAATGTTTTTTATTTATTTCCTTTTATTTGTAACGTAGGTCATGTTTGATGCAGTTGGTGGTCTTAGCAAGCAGATAAGGGCTCTGAAAGAAATGGTTTTGTTTCCTTTGGTGTACCCTGAAGTTTTTGAGAAGTTTAAGATTGCTCCTCCAAGAGGTGTCTTATTTCATGGTCCACCAGGTTTGAATGAGTTCATTTTCTATTTAATAGGTTTGTGAGTTTCTATCTGATTCAGTTTTAGATTAAAGTGAATCTCTAAGACTGGTAACCTTGATCTATTTCAGGGACTGGAAAGACACTTGTTGCACGAGCCCTTGCTAATGAGTGTAGTCAAGGTGACAAAAAAGTTGCATTTTTTATGAGGAAGGGTGCAGACTGTCTTAGTAAATGGGTTGGTGAATCTGAAAGACAGTTGAGACTGTTGTTTGACCAGGTAATATATTGTCTTGTTAGAATTTCCAAGTTGGTTATTTTCTCCCTCATCAACCCACCTTCAATTTTTTTTCTGGTTGCACTGTTTTACCTTAGTTATGTTTCACACCCATTAACTATATTTATACTGGTTTTCATACAGGCTTTTAGTATGAGACCAGCCATCATATTTTTTGATGAGATTGATGGTTTGGCACCTGTACGCTCAAGTCGTCAAGACCAGATTCATAGCTCTATTGTATCAACTTTGTTAGCCCTGATGGATGGATTAGACAGTAGAGGTGAAATTGTGGTCATTGGTGCAACCAACAGGATTGATGCTATCGATCCTGCACTGAGGCGTCCTGGCCGTTTTGACAGGGAATTTCAGTTTGCTCTTCCTGATAGGAATGTAAGCTATTTTTAGTACTTTGAAAACAATTTACTGTTTAAAAATTATGGGAAAAATTTTTGTTGAACTACAATTTCCTTAGTGATGTTTGAAGACTTTTCAATTGCTTCTTCTTATTTAAAATAAGTTTGTGATGTTTCTCTCATAGGCACGAAGAAGTATCTTGACCATTCATACTCGTGACTGGGAACCTAAACTATTGTCATCTTTTGTAAGTGAGGTAGCAGATCGCTGTGTTGGATACTGTGGTGCTGATATCAAAGCTCTTTGTACAGAGGCTGCACTTTTTGCCTTGAGAAGACGGTATCCACAGATTTACAGCAGCACAAGAAAACTGCTAGTAGATGTCAACTCCATCGAAGTAACTGCTAAGGATTTCCAAAAAGCAATGACAGCCATCATCCCTGCCTCTCAGCGATCTGTGGTTTCTCCTGCCAGAGCCCTCTCCCCCCTCATGAAGCCACTTCTCAAAAAGACTTTGTCTCAAACATTGGAGATCCTTGAGAAAATATTTCCCCCTGCTCATATTAAGACAGGTACAGCACACATGTGCTTACTTGAAAATCATGTTATTGGCACTGTCAGATATCTTCCCAACACAGGACAAATAAAATGAGGTTCTTTATTACAATAACATGGAAAGAAGTCAAAAAATGGTTATGAGTGGAAATAGGTTAGGGGTCAGGGCAAAGTTGGACAATTTTATCTTGAGTCAGGGGAAAGAGAGTAGAAACTCTCTATAGCACCCTTCAAAAATGCTTTGAAAGGAATAAACATGGCATTCAGTTTAGGTAGCATGAGTGTTGACTTTTCCCTTAGATGTTCTTGAGCTGTGAGTTTGAGTTGAAGATAGTTTTGATTGTTTGTTTTCTTATGAATTCTTTGATCCAGTGACTGAAAGTAGTCCCAGTAGCCTGATGGGTAACCCCAGTTGTAGCAACAGCAGCAGCCGTCATGATCAGCGAGGCAGAATGGTTGCTGTTTTAAGTGACGAGGAAGCAAGCTCAGATGAGGACTTGGGACCTCCAATCTTCGAGTCTCTTCCTGGTTCATCAAGAAGGGAGCGCTATTTGCGAAGAATACAGCAAAATTCCAACAGTGTTGAGTCAATGGAAGTCTCCCATTCTTCTTTCTTCAGCAGGACAGATGGTCAAAATAAGGGAATGTCAACTTATCGACCCAGACTCCTCATATGTGGGAATCAAGGCATGGGCCAGTCAACACATATTGCCCCTGCACTACTTCATGCAATGGAGCACATGAGTGTGCACTGTTTGGATTTACCAGCATTATATGGAGTTGCTTCCAAGACACCTGAAGAAGCTTGTTCTCAGGTTTGGCCCTCAATTTATTTGTAGAAATAAGCTTAGAAGATGCAATAACTTTCAGAAGAAAAATTGAATTTGAGTTTGACTTTGGTCAGTGTTAGGACTGACCTGGTTTACAGATTTTGCATAGCTTGATTTGAATACAATTATTGCTCATTCTCCTTGAAAAGGTACTTGTCTTTAACAAGGTACTTCAGTTCCAAGAATTTTCAGGTTTCCCACCCAGCTGAATTAAGTAATTTCTTCTTGTTTCAGCTGTTTCGTGAGGCACGTCGTACATCACCATGTATAGTGTATTCACCCCATTTTGATGCTTTGTGGAATGCCACAGGAGACAGCCTGCATGCTACATTACTATCACTGCTTCAGGATCTCCCTCCAGGTGCTCCTCTGTTGTTTTTGGTAACTGCAGATGACTGTTGGAGTAACCTTCCCTCCATAATGAAGGAACTGTTTTCAACAGAAACAGGACAGGTACTTAATGCATTAATGGTGTGGCCTTTGCAGTTCTGTAACATTTCAGACACAATAGTTCTTGAAAACAGGCCATAGATAGGAGTGGTTGATATTTTTTTTGAGTATATACTAAAACAGAGGATAGCATTGAAGGCATGCACTGATTGGCTTTTCAAACGACAAATCTCCTTTACTGTTCACTTACGAGCAATACATGTGGGATTGTGTCTGAAATACTGTAATCTTTGCAGGAATAAGTGAGTTTGCATCATCTTTTTATGCTGTATCATCTTGCTGTTTTAAATTATACTAAAACAACTACTGGTTCTCACCTCAGTGTTGGTGGCAAGCAATGGACATTTGCCTTGCTGCTTTGAGGTTGATACAGATATTGAATGATGATTATGTCATCTTTTACAGTGACTGCTCTGATTAATTTTCAAGGTATTTCAAGTTGCTGATCTGTCCTTAGATGAGAGGAGAGCTTTCTTTCACAGTCTGTTCCTCGAAGATGCTATTCTGCAACCCAAACCCAAGAGATCAAGTAGGAACAATTCTATACTACTGGTGCAACAGAGCTGTATAAAGCAATATGGCTTTATGTTTTGCAACCCTATGGATATTCTTGATTACACAAACTTTGCCTGATTGGCTATTACCATTTTGGCCTTGCTCACATTAATTAACAGACAGGCCTAGTTGTTTTGAAAATCATTTTCAAGTGATGAAGATTAATACGAACAGTTTAATTTGGTTAATTCCTCTTAACCTTTATTGACCTTTCTATATGTACTTCTATATGTATTTCATCATTGCATGTTAACATTTTTTACAAGGCCTGTGAAGAAAAAGAGTGACAGATTAATGTGGTGGAAAAATGTCATTAATGTGATTGCTATAAGCATAATACTTTGTTGGACTTCTTATCCAGCAGGAAAAGATAAAATAGTGGAAGTGTTACCATTTGCTCCTACCCCACCCCCACCGCAGTTGTCAGAAGCTGAGCTACTGAAGGCTCGTCAAGATGAGGAGAATACCATGAGGGAACTGCGCATCTTCCTCAGAGATGTTACCTCAAAGCTTTTACAAGATCGAAGGTTCAAAGAGTTTACCAAACCAGTGGATTTGATGGAGGTTAGAGAATCATTGTAGATTCTTCAAATTGAATCCCTGGTCTTGTGGAAGAGGTGGTCTACTTACTGAGCCAGTGTTGTATGATAGAAAATGCAGCAACTGGCAAACAGTGATGGTTCTTAACTCTTTCACTCACAAGATCTCAGTAGTAAATCTCCTTTGTGTCTTCAGTACAATTCTTATCATGTTAGTTTGGCAAATTTGGTATTGGATCAACTAGGTAGTAGTTCCATAATTGATACAATGTATGTTTCTTTATTCTTTTCATTTGCCTGCTGGATAATTTATGGATATTGTAAACAAAAAATTGTCTTGGTCACTCATAGGAGTGATAGGTTTAAGAGGCTTTTTGTAGCCATGTGCTCATAATGTTGGCCAGAAGTCAGTGTTAAACAGTTGGAGGGCTTTGGCAAAATATCCCCTCTATTTCCTCTAGTTATTAATAGTCCACTTTCCTCACAAATATTCATTGACATGGATCAGCTGTGTTAAAAAAAAAAATTCCTTTTTCATTTTAATGTAGCTTTGATCTCTTTTCAGGTTCCTGATTATCTTGAGGTGATTGATGAACCAATGGATCTTGCATCAATACTACAGAAAATCAACTGTCATCAGTATAGTACTTGTGCACAGTACTTGGCAGATATTGATTTGATCACAAGTAATGCTCTTAAGTACAACCCTGACCATGATCCAATGGACAAGCTTATCAGACATAGGGCTTGTGAACTCAGTGATGTGGCACACTCAGAAATCAAATCGCAACTGGAGCCAGAGTTTGAGAAGGTGATGAAGTTGTAAAAAAATAACTTAAAAGTGGCTATAGGAGGTTTACTTTAACACATTGTCTTAAATTAATTATTGCTGCTGATGGAAAGTGCTAATTTTTCTATTCATTTGTTTTTTTCAGACTTGTGTAGAAATCATAGCAGCAAGGGAAAGAAGGGGTAAGAATTGAGTTGAGATCATATTAAAAATTGGTTTTTTTTATATAGTAGTTAGTAACACTAATGTTTTGTCTCTTAGTTATGAGTAGTTGTAAGCTTGACATGATAGCAATGGTTATCTCTAGCATATAATTACTAGCCTGTGGCTTGTGTTTGCTGAAAAGTGATCACCTATTTTGTCAAGATTTTAGCTGAGATTTGCATCTTGTACTATGCACTCACAATGTCTCTATACACACAATTGCTCTTGAATGTACTTCGTATTTCAGAGATAAAGATAAGTTTCATACCAGATAGAGCTTGTTTAAGTTTGCTGACAATTACCTTTTCTTGAAGAACCGCTCTCTTTGGTTAAGTACAGCCATGCAATGATAAGGAATATATCAGTATTATCCAGGGTGCTTAATTGTGCACATATACTTTTTTCTTCAAAAAAGGAAGGGATTTATTTAAGTTGCAAGGAGTTTGGTGTAAAGAAAATTTTTGTCTCTGTTGAGAGTTTGTTACTGACACTTTATGGTCACAGTACGTTGTAGGAAGATCATTGGCAAGGAAGAGCAAGACAGGCAATGTGTCAGGAGAAAAGCCTCTGATGGTTGTATTTATTTTTCCCCAGGTGACAAATCAACTGCTGCTGCTCCTGCATTTGTGTTCACTGTTCCACTGAAACAACAAACAGCAACTGAGGTGACAGCATCAACACCGCTTCAAGATCAAGTAGAGAAAGCAGCATTGGGTGTCTCTGATATAACCTTTGTATCTGAATCCCAGTCACAAAGTAATGGCACAAGGCAGAAGAAAAAGCCAAGAAGAAAGAAAGCACCAATCTATTGGGGAAAAAAGCCAAGTAGAAGGAAACTAGATGTAAAGCAAAAATTAGACTCAGAGATTGATCAGGTTACTCAGGAGTTTCTGGTTGAAGTGAATGGGGAACAAGCAGAGATCAGTGGTGAAGCTTTTCCTGATGACTCTGGAGATAGATCAACCAATGAGGAAACTGAAAAAGATCCTGGGGTGATCTCTGATAAAGAAGGTGATGTAGCAAACCATCAAGAAGATGATGATGAGGAGGAGGAGGAAGAGGAAGATGATGTTGAATTGATGGAGAATGGGGTTGCACCCATTGATGGGGAAGTGGTTTTGTTACATCCAGAGAATCTCACAGCAGAAATTAAAAGTGGTGAGGTGAACTCAGGGTCTGTTCTTCAAAACAATTTGGTAGTGCCCAGAAGACCTATTGGAAATCATGATTTATCAGCAACATTGTCCAGTCTGCAAAATGGGGTCACCTCAGATGTTTGCTCAGAAGATATTGCATCGGAAAGTGAATGTGACAAGGAACCTGAAGGTGAGAATGCCTTAACCCTTTCACTCCCAAGATCTCAAAAGAAATTCTCACCACTGTCTGCCATGCAATTCTTTTGATGTTCCTTTGGAGAATTTGGTATTGGATCAACACATATTCCCCTAATAGAAATGTTGGTCTATTTCATTACTTGTCTCCTGATGTTGTATCAATATTGTGAGAAATCTCTGTTGGTCACTCATGGGAGTTCAAGGGTTAAGGCTATGTATGACTAGAATAGTGTGTACATCAAAGGGAAAAAATGTAGTTATATATTAAGTTCTACCCCTGTAAAGCAAAATCTTGCAAACAAAGATTCTGACAGGGTTATGAGAGAATATGCACTAAAGCCAAATATGGGAGCTCTCTTGGTTTCACAAGCGAGTGGAATTATCTGCAGACTGCTTTGATGGGATGCAAGTGCACCATAATTTTGCCCCTCCCCTCTGTTGACAGCAGATTTATACCTCTGGTTAAAGAGAGGCATTGTGATTGAAAGGTTTCCTGTCCAAGAACATCAGTTCTTGTCTCTCCTACCTGTGCATTACACTTAAATGTTCAAGTAGTGGATGTGATTTGTGTAGCATTAGTGGAGGTTAAGGTTATTCTGGTTTTCCCAACCACAAGATACCTAACTTAAGCCATATTGGCCCCATTGTTGAGTACATTTGTACCATTTGGTATGGAAAGTGGAAAACTCTGGTACTTTAGAGCTTTCAGGCCCCTTAGGATTCCCAAATAGTTTGAATTTTAAGTGTTTTTCCTTTTTTAATTATATGTGAAGACTCTTCCAATAATCCTCAAGAAAACAAACAGAACAAATCTGCAGGCTGCACTTCCTGGGGTAGTACTGCACTCAATGAAGACGTCATAGAGAAACTAGAAACTCTCCTGAATTTGCTAGTTGATGCAACTAAGGGGGCATCTATCGAAATGCTAGAGAGATATCACAGTTCTCTTCAGTGCTGTATCCACAAGCAGAGACACAATCATGATAAAGGAGAGCTTCTGAAGGTGTGTAAACTTGAATGTAAGGGGTTGAAATGATTTCAACTGGTTTACTGTAAAGAAACTGCTGACTGACATCAAATGGTAAATTTGGATTTTCAGTTGTTGTAGGGTTTTGTGGGAAGAAGTGGCAATGCTATCCAACATGGCAGTGTCCCTTTTTTTTTTTGATGATTTGAAAAGGGAAAGACTCCTTACTCAAAAGTATTACGTCATGCAACTTCCGAGCTTTTAACACTGTTCAACCGAAGCATTGGTAGTTGGAAAGTGGTCAAGCTTTGAGGATTCAATGGCTACTCTAGTCATCAAGGAGAAATATTTTGGCAAAAAAAATTTGGGGGGTTAGTGGCACTTTAATCATAATTTTTGGTGTTCTTTTATAAGAATAGTATCCAAAAACACATTTTACCGTGCCATCCACTTCCATCACACCCAAGTCCCCAGAACTTTGATCAAGGAATGGTAATCTGACATTTCCCCAAAATGCCCAAGGCTTCATGATAGGAACTTTCTCAACACTCCTCTTTGCAAACCAGACAGTGGGTGTTCTTTTTTTTTATGATTTATCTTATTAATTCCTGTGAAGCCTACCCAAAGGAGTTCCAGGGGTAGACTTTGCCCAAGAGTGAGTAGGCTGCCATTGACTGTTATTCTTTAAATTTGTTTTCAGGATTTGGAACTGATGATTAAAGGCTATGGACGATCTTCAAGAACTGTTTACTCATTTCAAAAGTGATCCTCAACGGTTAACTTGTAACATAGTCTCATTACTTTCAAAAGTAGAACCCCACTAACTTAAACTGTTCAGAAAAAGGAATACAGTGTAAGACCAAAGTGTTCAAGTTAGTAAATTGTAAGCAACTAAAAACCCTCCTCCAGAAATGTGGCTCTAAGATTACTTTAACAGACAGTTCCAGTTAGTGAGGTTCTACTCTTGTTAATATTTGGATCATTAATTTATTAACAATTAATTTATTTTGAATTGCTCTTTTCTGTGAAAATAATAATAACTTTTGAGATTAACTTTAGTGTCTGTATAGATGGACAATTTTTTGCAAAGCATTATTACATCTATTTCTGCTTACGCCTGACAACCTAGAACATAGATTGTTGGCTAAAGTTAAAGGCTAAGTTTTCTACATCTTTTTTTTTCTTTCTCAGAAATAGCTTTTTATTGCAGTCATATGTTAACCATTAAAACAAACTATCAATTAATTCGCTGATCACCATTTTCTGAGGAGGAGTGGAGAGGGAGGGGAAGTTCAAATTAGGGTAATATATATTTTTGAAAACAAAGAACTTATTTTAAATGGTACAAAAGTGTAACATTCTTGTATTACCATTCACTGCATTCGTAAATAGTTGCACTGAGTTAAAATGAGGTCATGTCATCCTTTAATAAATAAACTATCAATGATGGAAAAGCTTAAAAAATAATAATAAATGAAGATTTCCCAGGACAGAGATTCTGTATTTTCCATTACTTATGGTCATTTGTTCATTGTTTTCTTCACTGATAACTAAAGTTAACCCTGCTTTTTGTACTTTTTTCAGATCAAGACCACCAATAGTTAAATATCCCTTCTTAACCTTTAAAAATGAAACAAATTTATCTACATTCCCAAATATGCTTTAGCAGCATTCATGGTTATGAATACTAAGGTTGTA